GATTTATTTACAATACTTAATTTATAAAATATAAACCTATATAGAGTTTCCTGAAAAAAAAATTCAACAAATTTAACAATTAAACTGCTTAATCATATAAATTGGTCAAAAATATATTTACTAAAAATATGAAAACTATTCTTTACCTTTTTACAACTTAAATCCTATTACTTTCTTCATTCTACGTAACAATAAAAAATCGTAATTGCAAGTTGACAGGAATGATACCATTCCCAACCAAAAAAAAAAAAAAGACAAGTATTGAGTTTGTTCATAAACAACTGGAATCTTTTGACAAAAATCATATCAATAATAGTATAATAATATTAATTAATGTGCAAAACAAATTAATATTAACACTTAAACTGAATTATTATGTTTTATATATAGATAAAAATAAAATAGTTTTTTTTCATCATAGTTGGAATCTTATAAAAGTATATTAATTAGAATTTAATAAAAATAAATAAATAAATAAAAGCAATCTAAGCAAGTTGAAACGTTAACAATTTGAGTAAAGTAAGTTAATTTTTGGTTTTTCAAGCATACAATTTTATAAACTCGAAAAATAAAGTAGGAAATTTGTACAACATGGCCTTAAAAATATTTTAAAAATACATTATTATTTAAAAAGGCTTTTGATAACTTATTATTATTATTTTTTTATATTATAATATCGATTTAAGAAAAATAATAAACCACTGCAGATATCGACGTTTTAAAGTAGAAATTAAGAGATTATTATAATGGTTTTGACTGGTATATATATTTAAAAATTAGAAATTAAGAGAATATTATAATATAAAATAACAAAGATGTGAACGAATGACCATACCATATAATTATTAAGAAAGAATTACGTGGATGTTTTTGAAGGGTATGAGAATCACATGGGTTAATAGGTTTTAGTGGACGAGAGATGGCCATGTAATAAGATTCATGAGCGGCCCGGCTAATATAAACCACCCACCAAACCACTCCTGTCCCCCAAGCATGTTTCTTCTTTTGTTTAATACTACTTCACTTTCCAAACGAATAAACAAAAAATATGTAGAAGCTCTTTATCTTTTTTTTTTTTTTTTTTTTTTGAAAGGAAGAAGCTATTTATCTTATTTATCTTAAGGTGTTTGGATTTTATAAAATTGTATGCTTGAAAAACCAAAAATTAACTTACTTTACTCAAATTGTTAACGTTTCAACTTGCTTACATTGCTTTTATTTATTTATTTATTTTTATTAAATTCTAATTAATATACTTTTATAAGATTCCAACTATGATGAAAAAAAACTATTTTATTTTTATCTATATATAAAACATAATAATTCAGTTTAAGTGTTAATATTAATTTGTTTTGCACATTAATTAATATTATTATACTATTATTGATATGATTTTTGTCAAAAGATTCCGGTTGTTTATGAACAAACTCAATACTTGTCTATTTTTTTTTGTTGGGAGTGGTATCATTCCTGTCAACTTGCAATTACGATTTTTTATTGTTACGTAGAATGAAGAAAGTAATAGGATTTAAGTTGTAAAAAGGTAAAGAATAGTAGTATGTAATTTTAAATAGGTTTTATTTTGTAAAAGAAAAAAAAAAGAAAAGAAAAAGTAACAACCAATAATTTTTGTATTTTTGTAGTTAAAAGATGAAAAGTCAATCAAAACAATACGTCTTGTCTCTCTTTCCTCACTCTATGCATGCGATGAACTTTTTTTAGCACCTCCCTTAGCACATGCTAGGGAGTGGTGTTTGGCGAGCTTAGCACTCCTTAGCGAGCGAGATTAACAACTCCACTCCCAATAGTTTTATGTTGTTTTAATCTGTTTTCTTTTTGTTTCTTATTTGTTAGTATTATATATTGGAATTTATTTTATTTTATTTTTGAACTCTTCCGGTCACCAACAAGTCATAATGATATGTGTATTGGCCTTATCCCTATTTTAATAAATAAATAATTTTAATCTTCATTTAATATGTGTCACTCTAATACAATCTTCATTAATAGCAGTGTTTGGCGAGCTTAGCACTCCTTAGCAAACAAGATTAACAACTCCACTCCCAATAGCTTTATGTTGTTTTAATCATTTTTCTTTTTGTTTTTTATTTGTTAGTATTATATATTGGAATTTATTTTATTTTATTTTTGGACCCTTCCGGTCACCAACAAGTCATAATGACTATGTGGATTTGCCTTATCCCTATTTTAATAAATAAATAATTTTAATCTTCATTTAATATGTGTCACTATAATAAAATCTTCATTAATAGCATGTCACATATTAAGAGATATATTAGGCAACACTTCAAAATTCAAATTTATTTTTTTTAATTATATGTTAATTTTAAAGTTATAATAAATTCAAAATTTTAGTATATCTCATAATTAATGATTTATCAAAATTTAATTTATTCTGTTATGTTTGCATGCACATATAGGATTGTTTGTATTTAACCCATCAGTTATGGCCTTCAGAAGTTTCGTGGTTTTCAGGCTTAGCCGAGTACACGGGGGCGTACACAAAGAGTATGTGGGGCGTATTAGTGAAGAAGACAGTACGCGAGGCATACCTTGGAGTACGCTAGGCGTATTGACCAAGATGGTCATGAATGCTGTTCAAAGTATGTGGGCGTACCATATTTACGTTGGGCGTACACTAATCAGATCAGAACCCTATTTTAGGGTCGTGGACCCTATTTAAGCTCCTTATCTCATAATTGTGGTTCTCACGGGTTATAAACTAGTATGTAATAATTTACTCATTTTACATTTAGCCCAAACATTTATATATGATTTTGCATTGATCCCAATATTTTTTCTTTCCCATTTGCCATTTTCTTTAGATTTTTTTTTATTTTAGCCATTAGTCGTAACAAATATGTATTTTAAGACGTAATAGCTTAAAATGAAAAACAAAAAGACGAAGACAAAAGTCGAAACTGCGACTTCTTCTTGAGAGGTAGGAGATGTTAGCTAGTAAGCTAACATGTCTCTTTTTTGTATTATCATTGTTTGTTATATTTAATGTATACAAGTACTTTAAAATGAAGGAAAAAAACCTAGTATAAGTCTTGAGTGTAAGACATCTAATAAACAATGTGACATGCTAATCTTAGAATCAATCAAAATTGTTAATTCATTCATAACACATCTAAGAAATAATTGGCTATTGCTAATGGCATATTTGTTGAGAAGCCAAAAAATGAGAGGAAGTATGCAGAGTTTTATGGGTTAAATGCAAGAAATATTATTGAATATCTTTTTTTTTTTCTTGTTATAGCTTTGTACTTTCATATTTTCTTATTACAACATGTACTTTCAAATTAATTTTTAATGTTTCTTGGTGGCATATTTGAAACTTCATGAATGATATGTTGTTTGTGGTTTCTAAATTGAGAGCTTCGATGCTCTTTGAAAAGATTAGTACACAATCTTTTTTATGGTGTAATTCTACGTATACAAAAGGGCTTCAAGCCCAGCGGTATCCTGTGTTAACCTCCCTCTTTGAGTTTGAGGGTTCAAGTCTTGTTATAGACATATGTGGATTTAGAAGTAGAATAGATTTGTGGTTCCAAAAAAAATTTACGTCTAAAATGAACATTAATTGGTATAGATGGCTTCGAAGTCATCAACTTGCTATTATGTAATGTTTCTTTTTGTTCCTGACTAGTTTCGTATTAGTCTGGCTTTTTATAAAATTATTGTTGTTGGAAAAAAAAGTTTCAAATTAATTTGATTAAGGCATTATACTTTGATAAAGTATACTTATTGTTGTAACGTCGTGAATTTTCAAAATAAATTTTCATTTTTAAAACATATCATATCTCATAAGGTAAACTCAAAACATCAAATGTATCAAAAGTTATCTCAGAAGAAACATATCCCAGAATCTCAAGTGCATAATGCATAATTCTATCAGTGTGTACAGATCATGCTGGCACCTTCCCGCGATCATCACTGGTACCTAAAACACATATCACATAACACGGTAAGCATAAATGCTTAGTGAGTTCCCCAAAATACCACATACAACACATAAGCCCCTCGAGGCTATAACTCGGTATGAACCTCAGGTCAATGTGTCTCAACGGGACCCTCCAGTCCCGTAGCTCGTTGGACCCTCCAGTCCGGTTTGATCGAGGACCCTCTAGCCTCATGAATCGTTGGACCCTCTGGCCTGGTCTATATAACACATAGCATACATATATCACATTGGACATAAATCTCAAACATACACATACACATAAGACTCTCCATTCTGCACATAGATACTACTCTAGGTAAAGTATAGTGAGTAACTCACCTCGGGTAATCTCGGAAAGTCTCGAACTTGAAATACTGATCTAGCCTCCGCCTAATCACATAAAGTAATTTACCTCTAATTTACAACGATTCCAAAGGCTAGACTAATCCCTCCCTATAATCTCTTAGAAGGGGAAAAGACCATTTTACCCCTCCAATGGTCCAAATGTCAAATTGTTGACCAATCCTCAAAAGTCAACAAAAGTCAACAGAGGGTAGTACGCGACGTACCAGCTCTGTATGCGGGGCGTACCTCGTGGCTATCCAAGATCGGGGAACTAGACCCCCTACGTTGCGTGTACTAGGATTACGCCCAACGTAAGTCCCAATTCCATACTTTCATGATTTTTGGTCTGAATAGGTTAAGACATAAGTGGTGGTTGTCGAGGCCAACACAAATAATAACCCTAAATATTACACACTAAAATAGTGTATAGTGGTAAAGGGATCGAATCCACGGAGATTGGTTCAATTTATAACTCTATGAAAAATCTCTTTGTAAAAATACTTGTGAAATAATAATAAAAATAAAATGGGGGGGGGGG